TGGAGTCTGTTATGGAAAGATAAAGGTAGGAGAGGGAGGATGAAGGAGGGGTGAAAATTCTCACTAGCTCACCCTCCAAAGCAAGGGGACTGAAGTCAATCCCGCCACTACAAAGATGAGAGATGTTGTGTTATATATTGAAATATAACGATCGACGACGAAGCGAAAAATAAAACGAGAAAAATTCACGCACAAAAAAACACACAGATTTACATGGTTCGGCAAATTGCCTACATCCACGGAGTTGAAGAGAATTTTACTAATTGAGAAATTTACACCAATCAATCTCTTTGACAATTACAAGAGAAAGTCTCTCACTTTCTCACTCTATCTTCTTCTCTCTCTACACCGAGATACACCCGAGATACACCGATACACCGAAGAAGAAGAAACAAGGAAGAAATATATGGCAGAATCAAACCCGTTGTTAATGCTTTTTCCCCCAATTTAAGGCCTCATCGAATTCCTACCAACCAAAAGGAGAATTCTTGCCTTGCAAATTACTAACTCTTCTTCCCTGAACAAGAATGCCGAAGCCAAAGAGAGGAGCAGCCGAAGCCTTTCGTTGCGTTCTTTTCTTCTTCTACTTCACAAAGGAGAGGCGAGATTTTCCAGCGGCGACAGGTGTTGTATTGCAAACGAAAAAATAAAAGCGGAGTCGGGGTTACAACTCTTCGGTTTGCAGCAGAGAAAAGGCGGGAGAGGTTCGTGAATCGCAGACGAAAGCAGGAGTCGACGGACGGGAGCGGGAACAGGTGTGATCTCTCTTTTTTTTTATTCAAACCGGGCTCCAACTCTAACAAGAGTTATTCTCCCTCTCTAATTCTATAACCAGACTTCACTAGATATAAAGAACATAGGACATTTACAGGGCAATCTTCTATCAAAATCTATACAGTTGCATCTTAAGAAATAATTATTCACAATAACATGTCATCCAAAAAAAAAAAAATGAAACTCCATGAAACTCCACATTAACCAAATTTTATATAGTAGTTTAAGACCTTTCTCTCAGGTCCTCCATCTCTTGGGACCTAAATATGCCAAGTTAATTCTCGAGAAAAATATACATCTATTTATATAACTTCACATTCTTTCCTATATCTAGCTTACAAGCTGTTAAAAATATCATACCCCTTAGAATACAACATTCATGCAGCCAACTAAATAGCTTTTTATCATTAATAAATGAATAAGAAATGAAGTTCCAAACATTAAACGTTAAATACATGAATGAAGAATTAGGTTTTAATAGTTTTACAAAATGGAGGTATAGGAATAACAGATTAGACCGCATAAAGTTTTGAAGAAATCAGTTTTAATTAAAATAAAATACATCTAGAGTGCATGTTTCATGAAATATTATTCTTGTTATATTTTTTACAATAATTAAAATATTTTAAGGAAATATAGATAGTGAGATATAGAAGAATAATAAATAATAAAATAAATCAATCTTTAAAAATCAAAATGTTATATATCATCTAAAAAATGACAATCTCTTCATCTTTAAGGATTCTATCATGAAATGTAGTCTCCCATCAAATTGTTAGGCAAATAAGAAGCATGGTTTCTGATATTAGATGTTGGCATAATGCGGGCGCATAAAAGAAAATATTTACAATTGAATGGATAACATTACTTCGTATTCAGCTTTTGGTGTGCTTTTGCATTATATTACAATTGAGCAGCGAATTAAGGAAACCTATAGAACAGTATAAATGTGAAATAAATCCATCTTTAAATGTTAACAACAACCTTAATGACAAGATGATACTCAGACAAATTTTTTTAAGAGATTAAAAGATTGCAAAGCTTAATCCTAGAAAAGAATGTATTTTGCAAAAAAAAAAAACAAAGAAAGAAAAATAATAGAGGGAAATTAACCACAGTGAATGACAAAATATGCTTATGCCAAGTTAAATATGCAGTGATTTTATTGAACTTGGACTAAATGAAACTTTAGGTTTTATGCTTGCAATAGAAATAGGAAGCATAACCTTCAAGATATCTAGCTTCAATGTCTTCCGATAAAGCTTAGATTTGAAATATATTTGGACAGCCTTACTTCGAAGTTGTAGAAGGAACATCAAATGCTAGATTTTAGAATTACAAATTACCAGAAAAAGAGTACCTCATACCAAGTAGTGAGGCACATGAGGAGAATTCCCACTTTTCAACTATATATATAATGGCCAAAATAGGGTTACAACTTCACACATAAAACTCATTCATAATCTCTTTTATAAATAAGAGAGAATTAAGACAAGCAAATTATGAGTATTTCACTATAGAAAATATTCTATAGTTAAAACTTCTTTAATTAATTTACCTAATATCAATCTTCCTAGTATATTAAAGATCATATAATTAAATCTCCTTTGATTACGTTACCTAATATCAATCTTCCCCTTTCTAATATACAATCATTAGATTTAATACTTCCTATAACAATGTTAGCTTCGAACTGGATCCTTGGGCATTTGCTGAATTTTGTTAGATTGAATAGCACGAGATGGAGATCTCCTAAGCTTTGTTAGGGAAGTTCTGCCTTGCTCTTTTTCTATAATGGTTCCATTAGATTTGTGTTTTGTTTGTTTCTGGAAAGTAGGCAGGTCTTAATTCTCTGGTATATTTCTAGCATATCAAGAAACCATTATGATATCTTCTATTTTTAATGAAATTGCTGGGGACAGCCCTCATTATTCTCCCAAAAAAAAAAGGGGTGGGCGTTTCTGAGATTATCCAGTTCATAATGCTTAAACTGGTTATCATTAATTTAGTCATAATGAAACAGGCAAAGAAGTTCTACCTGGCAATCAGGCTGACCTACTCTTTGTGGTAGCTCACCTTTATCCTGAGTCCCCTGGAGTAAAAAATGAAAGAGAATCATATCATTAAGTGAATCACAGGACTTGTGCAGGCCATATGTATTTCCAATCATAAAATAAGCCCTTACTAAAGATCGCAGGAATCCCCAACAATATAATAACAATTAAAAAAAATGACTTGCACCCACCATCAATCGATATCGAAAATCCTATATGATTCTCAACACTTACCTGCTCCAAGTGGGTTGGATGATTATAGCGGCAGTTGCTTCCATACGCACACAACCCTGTCTTCATATAATATATGCAGTCAGGTTCCCCAGGCCGATCAGGATATTGGTTTGCATCAACATCACCACTCTCATGTTTATCCTGAACTTCCAACCGTCCAATAGCTTCTGAAAAAAAAAGAAAAAAAAACATCGTTCTTAAGTACCCAATCCCAAAGCATCCTCCTCTTCGAGTTTTCCCCACCTAAACCCATCAAAATCCTTCTATTTTCCCCTCTAGTAACGTTAAATTTTAACTTTAGCAAGTCTTTCACTGATCGTAAAAGTAATAAAAGCTTAACAAACAAATAAACGATCACACAAGCAGAAGAAAATAAGAAGAAAAAAAATAAATCACCACCAAGAACCATCGTGTTCGACAACAGCCTTGAATCCGGCATCATCGGCGAAACGATCCGTACCTCACTATCCTCCACAAATCACCACTAGAACCTTAGCAATCCTAAGAACAATTTTCCTTTCCCCCACCCCCCTCTTTCCAATCCCCACTCCTCAATGCTCAAATCACCTCCGCAAACTCCCCAAATCATCTTACTCTCCTGAGTTCCAGCATTTGAGAATCAAACCCACGTCTCTGTTCTAATCGGTGAGACATCTCAAATTCACCGGCTCCGATGCTCGACGCCGCGAGCTTCGAATTCGAAGAACAACTCGCTGGCAATGTCGCTAAATCGATCTCCTCCCCCTTCGTCTTCGATCGCTCCGAGTTCCACAGTAGATGTTAGTCGAAATCCAACTTTTTGTGTTTTGTTCAAATATTTATGTAATTTCTATTTTCTTCATTATGTAAATGTGTACTTTTTTTACTTTTATTTTTTATATTCTACAAATAGTATATAATCTCTTTTAGCCTATTATTTATTTTTAAATAATAATTAAATGGTTATTACAGGGATTTTCCGGTTAAATTCTAGAGAGGGAGTCACAGAGAAGGCGCGGTCGCGCGCGAATGTGATTTTGACGCCACAAGACCATCTGCCACGTGTCAACTGGGTGGGTGCCGGCGGGTGTAAGAGGAGAGAAATGTGAACGCTCTTTCAGACTAATGACGC